CATCTCTTTCCAAGTGTTTAGGTGGATTTTTAATTTACATTTTTTTAATTTTTATACTATCTTGGGGAAGCTCTTCATATGCAAACATGGTTTTCTCCACAGTGAAAGCAAATAATGAAGGTTAAATACAGCATTTAAGTTTATCTGTCTGTTAAGACAATCTGCAGAAGATGTTGCACAGAACATCACTTTTCTGTGAGGCACTTCAAGGTTCTCTTTCTGTGTTAAAAAAACCCAAAACCAACCAAAAAACCTCAACAACAGAAAAAAAACCCAACCAAAAAACCCACACAAAACTCCTCAAAAATCGTATAACATTTTAGCATATTTTCTTGTATTGAAACTTCATCGAAATGTTTAACGGGCCAAAAAATCCCTATTGCTACCTTGATATCCTTCAGTGGACCAGCATGTTTAGGGAGAAACATAGAAACTGCAAACAGACCAGAAACTCTAGAGGCTCAGGAAGACTTTGGATGGAAAGGGAGCTTAGAGAAATGATCTCTGAGTATTCATGAGTGACTCCCTCCCTGTGCCTGTGCTTCTCACTTCCACTCTTCCCTTTTGTAGAACAGCACTTGAAAAGGATTTTTCAACAACTGAAAAGGGAGATTTTCCAGTTGATAACAGAGGGAAGCCAAAGGAAATATTTTATCATCGTGGAGAATAAATGAACAGGGGAAATGAATCTCAATAGAAACAGAGTAAGGAAAAACTCAACAGAAAGCTAAAGGCTTTGAGGTTGTTATATGCTAAGCAAGTTCCATGATCTGAGTACCCTTCCTTCCCTTTAACTTCATACTGCAGTGACAAATTGTCTATTTATTTCTCCACAGTTATCACTCTTCCAGTCACTCTTCAGTAGGTGTAGTATAGTACAGTAAAGTACAACACCAAGCTGGACATTGACATTCTGGGTGAGGCAGCTAAGGAGGAGTGGTACATCCTTATCTGAAGTTCTGCTGGCAGAACTCTCTCAGCATGACACAGTACTGCTGATGCCACTGATGCTTTACTGACTTCTGGCTTGAGATGATTCAGTATGGCACAGTGTTTTTCTTGGCCATTCTCACAGTGACACCATTTGTTCTGGTGTCCCTTGGAAAAGGTATGGCTCTAGCCTGCAGATGGGTGAGGTCACACCAGGCAGTAGAGCTGTTGTTTGGACAAAGCCAGACAAGTACTACATGCTGCTGAAATTCAGGAGTATATGTACAGATGGCTGTATGGGAGACTAGGAATTGTTTTGTACATTGAAAATAGGTATAAGTAAGAAATTGGTATTTTGCCATTTACTCATGAATATTCCATGTCATTTTAAACCAAAGTGAAACATGCTTTCCTCAGCAAGTCTTCTGGATAGGGAAAAAGTTGGATTTTCTTTATAGCATTCAATTTCATCAATAAACTGATGTAACAACCTAAAGGTACTGAGATTCTCCCCGTTTGCAAGGGCAGCATGCCCACGCCAGAAGATAGGAAAACGAATCATCCACTCTCCAGTCTGTGCACTAATTACTGTTACTGATGTCAACATTATTATTATAGTCATCTTCTGCAGCAGCTGCAGTACCACTTTGCCTGTCCATCTGCTTCCTTGTTTTGATTACTGCAGTGCAAGTATCATCCTGGGAAGCATGAGAGAGGAGGAGACCCAGCCTTTTTAAAGCACAAGTCCTTTAATAGCAAGGAAGACCATGCTTTTTTTTTTTTTTTTTTTTTAACTTTTTTAGTCATCATTCACTTTTTCCGTTGGGGATTTTTTTGTGTCTTTCTCTTCACAGATAGCACAGCCTGCAGTTTTTTCTAATTTTGTATTATGATCTCAAACATGTGCTTTCTGGCCTCCTAATTACCTGTTACCATAATAACATTTAGTAGTGTTGTATCATGTTGTAGCCAGAAATGTAGTTTTAAAAAACACTAGCTAATTAATTAAAGGCTTCATAAAAACTCTCTGTAACAAAAGAAAGCCTGACAGATGGAGAAACTGAGGTACAGG